GTATGAACACGGCCTCGCGGTCAAACATGTCCACGGCGTCATCAGTCACCTCCCCGTGGAGCAGCAGCGGCACTCCCAGTTCAGCCATGGCACGCAGTGCGGGCAGCACCCTGTCCAGCGACGTCACTCCAGAGTCTTTGGGGGACAGCGGAGGAGGTGGGTCAGCAAGCAGCAGTAGATGCGGCTGCGACGGTGAGCAGCCGGCGCATCATACCTGCCACCGCGGAGGACCGCGGGGTGCACCAGGTGGCAAATCAAGCTCGTCAGGGCGCACGCACGCTTGCCGCATGCCCCCACCCGAGTTGGTGGTGGCGCCCGCCGGGTAGAGCTTGAAGGCCGCCACCCCGGCGTCCCTGGCGCGCGCCACCTCCTCCGGGGGCGTGTTGTCTGTCAGGTAGAGCGTCATGAGGGGGGCGAAGGCGCTGCCGGGGGGCAGGGCCGCCGTGATGCGCGCCTTGTACTCCAGGGCCTGCCACGTGGGTTGGGGCCAAAGAGGGGGCGCTGACGAGCACGGCGGGACAGGTGAGGTGTTGGAGACTGCGCAATGAGGCAGCAGTGCGGCGATGCAGGCTCGCAGAGTCGCAGGGTCACGACGCTGAAGCAACGTTGTGCCGCTGCACAGTAACCGGGAACTCCGCTTGGACGCACACTTTGGCATGTTTGCAGCCCCTTGGCCCCTCGCTACCCGGGCCCACCATGTCTGTCGTGGACACGGGGGGCACCAAGTTGGGCATGATGATGGCGCGCGAGAAGTGGGCGGCCGTGTGGGGCACCACCGACCGCATGCTGTCGCCGTCACGCAGGTGCAGGTGCCAGTCATCAGGCGCGGTGATCTGCAGCCGCTGCGCTGCACTGCTGGCTGCGCGCATGCCTGAACGCGGCGCCAACAGTCGTGGCCGGCTGTTGCACCTGGCACCGTCGAGCCGCCGAAGAACCCCTGCGGTCAAGACCAGCACAACCAGCAGGATGAGCACCCAGCCATTGCAACATCAAAGCGCAAGACATGTTTATGGGCGCGCTGTGTCTCATGACATGATGTGCAGGGCGCCATGCCTGGGGGTCTGCTGCGGAGACGGCACCAGCAGCCAGGCGTCGCACCGTGCACGCTGTTGAGGCCGCGGCACGCCCCGTTCAAACATCGAGTCCCGGCCATCTATCTAGGTAGTGCCTCGCTCGTTGAGAAGGATTAAATGCACAATACAGACCCTCGGAGACCACTTATGAATTGCAGCGCTTCGGGAGTTCGGAAGAGGAGCGGATGTAAGTGAAGCTCAAAGGCTTACCGATACGTTTGAATCAACGAAAACATGCGATCTGCAGATCGTTGATGATCTGGCAGTGCGGGGTCAATAGCTGCACGACATTTGATCGAATGCGTACATCGCCTAAGATTGCAACCCATGTACAGTAAGTAAGCCACAGCCAGCTCCAGCTCTCGTGGGCTCTGGTGTGTGATGTTGACCTGTGTGCCTGAAGGTCAAATGCGTCTCACTCTGGCAGGTCTACAACCATTGAAGGGCGCCGCAGCATTGGTGAGCTGACTATGTGAAACAGTGACTCCGCGTGCAGAAGACCAAGACTCGGCTTCTGGCTACAGGGTCACGGGTGAACCAGGTGCTGTACACAGGGGGATGATGAGCACACACGACTGCATCATTGTAAGCCCCAAAAAACGCAACCAAATGCACCACCACAAACATCGCTCTCAAATCCCCTCATTGGCACTGCAAGGTGTGCATTGTGCAGTACCACACTGTGCGCAGTATGCGTGGCCAAGGCAAGCCCACCTCGGTTGAACGCATGTACACTACATATTCACTCGGTCCTGGCTGGTGTTAGCTCAAGCTGAAAGTTGCACGCGCCGTTCATTCCTTGGTTCGTCGATGGCACCAGCATCAAACTGTTGAAAGAGCGGAAGCGCCCCAATTTATTAAGCGTTGCGTCCTTGTTGCCCATGCACACCGCATCCTGCAACCGTCTCTGCGCTCCCCCCCCCCCCCAGACACCACTGGTAAATCTAAGCAAACCGCTGACCTTGCACGAA